GCCACACTTGAAGGGAAAGAGGTGAAATATTTGTGGGTCATTTTGATGAGTTTAATGGGATGTGTTTTTGATGAGAAAGGGTGGGGGTAAGGGGGCTACGGCCTGGGCAGAAAAGGAAGAAAGAAAATGGGTTGTTTGGGTTTATTTTAGGGTAAGGACAAGCCCAAGGAAATTATGGTTAAGGGTTTGGGTTTAGGAGGGGTAAATTCATTCCAGAAAAGATCGTAAGATTTAGTCATTAATCCGGTAATTTGTTTAAGGACTTTCGTAGGTACCGGGGGTATATCATCCTCCCCTTCTTCAGAGAAGTTTGTCCTCAAACTTGGGATATCCTCGGCTTCGAAATACGGACTCAAATCCTTGATGTTGAATGTCGCAGATACTCCATAGTCTCCTGGAAGGTTAATCTTGTATGCATTATCGTTGATCTTTTCCAAAACCTCGAAGGGGCCATCGGCTCTTGGAAGTAGCTTTGACTTTTGTTTCATGGGGAAACACTCTTTCCGAAGATGTATCCAAACCAAATCTCCAGGTTGAAAAGTTGCAGGCTTTCTTCTTTGGTTGATGCGTGTGCTCAACCTCTCGTTCATAGCCTCGATTTTGCTACGAACCTTTTCATGAATGTCCTGAATCTCTTTTGATCTCTTTTCCGCTTCCCAACTGAACTTTGTATCCGTCATGATAGGGTCAAGCTCAAGTGGAGTTAATGGGTTCGTGCCGTAGACCACCGTAAAAGGAGACAGCCCGGTAGTCTTGTTTGGGGTGCGGTTGTACGCAAACTCAGCATGGGGAAGAAGTTCTTCCCATTGCTTGATATTTTTCTTTATAAGTGCTCGAAGAAGTGTTCCCAAAGTACGGTTGGTGACCTCCGTCTGTCCGTCCGTCTGTGGGTGACTAGTCGTACTAAACTTAAGTTTAGTACCCAATTTCCTCCATAAAGTCATCCAAAAATGCCTTAATAATTTCGTGTCTCGATTTGAGACCATGCTTCTCGGAATGCCATGAAGTTTGACAATCTCCCTAAAGTAAAGATCGGCTACTTGAGATGCGTCATACGTGGTGACGCACAGAACAAAGTGGGCCATTTTAGAGAATCGATCCACCACGACCATGATGGAATCCTTTCCTCTTTGAGTTCTAGGCAGCCCGGTTATGAAGTCTAAGCTTACATCTTCCCACGGTGCGTCGGGGATGGGTAGTGCTAGATGTCTTCCTTGCGGTAGAGCATGTCCTTTCGCTAGATGACATGTGTGGCAGCACTTAATGAAGTGTTCAATGTCTCGTTCCATCCTTGGCCAGAAATAGTGCTCTCTCATCATCATGTATGTCTTATCGGATCCGAAATGACCAGCGAGACCTCCTCTGTGAACCTCGTCAATGATTGTCTCACGTACACTACATTTGGGTATGCAAAGCTGGTTCCCACGGAAGAGATAGCCATCCTTGATTAGGAATTCACCATAGGGCCGAATTTTACACTTCTCAAAAGTGTCCTTGAAGTCTTCATCCATTGCGTATAGTTCCTGCAAACAATCAAAGCCAACAAGTTTGGTACTAAGTACCGTTAGTAATAAATGTCGCCTTGACAAGGCGTCGGCTCCTTTGTTGAGGGTTCCATTGCGGTGTTTGATTGTGAAAGTGAAAGTTTGGAGATATTCGACCCATTTGGCATGGCGGGGTCGAAGCTTATGTTGGCCTTGTATATATTTCAACGCTTCATGGTCAGAATGGAGGATGAATTCTTTGCTCACGAGGTAGTGGCGCCAATGCTCAAGGGCTCGTATCAAGGCGTAGAATGCTTTGTCGTACGTAGAATAGCGCCATCTAGTATCATTTAGATTTTTCGCTAAAATATGATACCGGGTGTCCTTCTTGACTTAGGACAGCCCCTATGCCAACTCCGGAAGCGTCACATTCTACCTCGAACAACTTCTCAAAACTAGGCAATGCTAACACAGGTGCGTGTGTTAAACGTTCCTTAATCTCCTCAAAAGCTTTCTGTGCTCTTTGATTCCATTCGAACTTCGGATTCTTGGTCAAATCCGTGAGTAGGGCTATGATAGTACTAAAATCCTTCACAAATCGTCGGTAAAATGAAGCCAAACCGTGGAAGCTTCGTACTTGCTGCAAGGATGTGGGAATGGGCCAATCTCTTATTGCTTGGGTTTTCTTGTCGTCCACTTTAATGCCTTCACCTGAGATAAAATATCCCAAGAACTCCGTTTCTTGAGAAAAAAACTGACTTTTCTCAAGATTCCCATATAGCTTTTCATCATCTAACCTTTTAATCACCAAGGAAAGGTGATTAACATGGTCTTCTTTACTTTTGCTGTTGTATCCTACCATGCATCACAAAAGGGTAAGAAAAATCAGGGGTTAATGCTTGAGTGTTATAATCCTTATTGGGTTGAATTCATTCCTTTTTCCCATCAAAAGGCCCAACCCTTAGCCCTTGTTGCCCAAAATCCCCCCTAAACCAAATCATAACCCACAAACCCTCTCCCACAACATCCAAACTCATTTCCTCTGTCCAAAATAAAGTCTTTGTTATTCATTACTAAGCCTAGGCCGAAGGTGAACACCAAAAGACAAAACAAAACCTTAGCTTGCTATTTTTCTTCTGTTAAAGTCTTGATAATCGATTATCCAATATAGATAATCGACTATTGCTTCCCTCTGATTTCTCCTAACATAGTCCAGCAATGCTCCGTAATCGATTATCTACCAACTAATAATCGATTATTTTTCATCTCTGAAAATATCCAGTTTGGAAGCCAGTCTTTGATAATCGATTGTTTCTAAAATGTTAATCGACTATTGGACAACTCTGAAAGTTCTGGGTTAGAAGACATAACTTATTAATCGATTATCAGTAGGCGATAATCGATTATCACACTGCTCTGAACTCAGAAATCAGTAAAGTGGT